TTGATTTGGTGGGGTGGATGCCAGTACTATCTATGAGATAGCCCAGGAACTCGACTTCTTGTACTCCTAGGATGCACTTATCACGCCTGACCCTCAAGCCCTTGGCCCTGAATCGCTGCAGGACAAGCCTGAGCCTTTCAAGGAGTTGTGCTTGTGAGTCTCCGGAGATTAGCACATCGTCAAAGTAGGGCACCACCCCTGGAACGCCTTGGAGAAGGCGTTCCATCATAGATTGGAAGATGCCGGGGGCAGCACTGACTCCAAATTGGAGGCGGTTGCATTTGAATGCCCCCCTGTGCGTGACAATTGTTTGTGCCTCCACCGTTTTTTCGTCCACTGGCAGTTGCTGGTAAGCCTGGGCCAGGTCCAGTTTCGCAAAAATTGAGCCCGTTCCCAGGGAATGCAGCAGATGTTGCACTACTGGGACTGGGTATGCGCTCTGTGCCAACGCCTTGTTGATGGTACAACGGTAGTCGGCGCAGATGCGCACAGACCCATCATGCTTCAGTGGGGTCACAATGGGGGTCTCCCATGAAGCATGATCAATCAGTTCCAGGACGCCCTGGGCGATCAGCTTATCCAGCTGCTCGTCTACTTTCGGCCGCAGGGCAAAAGGAACCCGGCGGGGCTTAAGCCTAATTGGGGTGATTCCCTTGTCCAGATTAAAGGAGATTGGCCTTCCCACAAATTTCCCCAGCTTACCATCGAAGACTTCTTTGAACTCTTCGATGAGGTTGTCGAGTTCATCCCTGTGAATTTGGTGGATGCCTCCGATGGATAGCCCCAGCGGCTTAAACCACTCCACTCCTAGCAGGTTCGGTCGGCTGTTCTCCACGACTGTGATGGGAAGCTCGCCTTGGAAGTCCTTGAATGTGATGTGGATGGTGGTTCTGCCCAGGACTCCGATGGGGTTTCCGCTGAAGTCCATGAGCCTCGACTTCAGGGGTTTCAGCTGGGTCTTTTTGCAGGATGGCTTAAGGTGTTTCAGATGCTGCCAGTCCATGATGGAGTAGGCGGACCCGGAGTCTACTTCCATTTTGCACGGTGACCCCTCTGCCAACAGTGTCACGTGGAACTTGGTGGCACCGTCGTCGTTCATGTGGGCGATGGTGGTCTGGTGCACTGCTCTGCTGTGGGGATATTCCTCCTCTCCGCGCCGTGACTGGTTCGAGGACCGTTTGGATGTCCTCTGGGTTTCTCTGCGGTTCTCGCGGAATCTTGGCCTGGGTGGTTCCGGGGCTGGATCTGCTGCTCTGCAGGCCTCAGTGATGTGTCCCCTCTTCAGACAGCGGCGGCAGGTTGCGTCTCTCCATCTGCAGGTTGCCCTGGGGTGGTCGCCTTTGCAGCTGCCGCAACGTTCCCCCCGGTCGCCATGCTGAGGGTTTTCCCGCCTGGGAGGGCGGGAAACCTTGTGGATGGCCATTTCCTCATCAGACTCTGACGGCGTGGTCGAGTCATCTGATGAGTTCAGGCCGGACTTGTGGATCTTGTGGATCCCTCTTGCCTTCACCATCGCGGTGGCTGCTTTTTCGGACATCTCGGCAGCTGTGGCTTCTTCAAGGACTTCCTTGAGTGGGATCCTCTTGTGGCTCAGGAACTTCTTCTGAAGACCCACATCCTGCATTCCGAAAACAACGCGGTCCTGAATGGCATTATCCACATTGTCGAATTCGCAATTGGCAGCGATTTGGCGAAGCGCTGCCACGAATTCTTTGATGGATTCACCTTCCCGTTGGTTTCTCTGTTGGAAGGTGAACCTGTTGGCGATTGGGATGCCTGTGGGTGCGTAGTACTCCTGTAGGACTTCCTGCAGGTCATTCCAGGACATCTCCTCAATGTCCCTGGGCGCCACGAGGTCAATTGCCATTTCCAGGACATCGGACCCGCAGTGAGCCAGGAATAGGGCTCTTTTTCGCTCATCATTGAGGTTCCCCCGCAGGAATTGCCGGAATCTGACCATGTACGACCTCCATTTCTCTCGTGCTGGGTCGAATGGGTTCAGCGAGGCAATCGGAGCTTGCGGGTTTGCCATTCTAAAGGTCGCTGCGGTTGAGTGACTTCAGCTCGGTTGTGCGATCGTGCCACGAGTCTTGCTCAGGTTCTCTTCTCTAGCCCTTCGTCGCCAGTGTTAGATCAGGCGCAGGAAATGAAGACGTGACCAGCTCGATACATTTAGTAACTTTATTAGCTACAGTAACAAGACAAGACAAGACTACCCGTGCGCTGCCGGAGCTCTCCTTATATTCGCTCCGGCAGTCGCACCGCCCCTGACAGGGATTCAAACTTTCCCGCCCGATGGCTGGCAGCCAATCCGGGCGGATGTCCTTATAAGGACATAACAATTTCTACAGGATGAAGGAGGATGTTGGCATTTACCCATTTCTGCCTCTTCTTTCAAAGCCGCAAGTTCAGAATCTTTGGCTCTGCCGTCATCTCTACCCTCACTCCAGGTTTTGTTTCTCTCTTGAGATCCAGTAACACTTGTTTTCATGAAGCAGCCAGGTTTTGGGACACAGCTTCAAATTCCCTGAAAGAGGAATATCTATTCATTGAAATCAGGTATTTACTGCAGTAAATACTGCATCATACTGACACCAAATTACAAGGAAAGGTAAAGATTTTCCTAGCTAGTCGTGTCCCACTCTAAGGCACAGTGCTCATCTCCGCTTCTTAGCCGGGGGAAGCAGTGTTATCTGAAGACATTTCTGTGGTTAGGCAGTAATTTTGCCTAACCACAGAAATGTCAAGGCAAAAGAAGACTGATCCCATACAGAAACCCGCCCACTCATATCAGGTCTTGAAACCCCACCACCCTCCATCTCCTTTATTCTCCCCAAGAAGTTTTCTGTACTCCATCAGAACATTTTGGCAGGCAGCTCAGTTTCCCAACCATTCTGTGACTCCTGGAAGTGTGGCTGTCCTGCAAACAGAGGAAAACTCAGATGTCTTGGAGATTTATTTTATTGTTTATTTATTTATTGGTTCGATTTATATGCCACCCTTCTCTGGAGACTCAGGGCGGCTTACAATGCGTTAAGCAATAGCCTTCATACTTTTGTATATACCTGCTTAGTAGGGCTTTTGCCCTCCCCCCCAAGCGGTGTTCTTTTTTTATACAAAGTCATCTTATTGCCCCCACAAACCAGGTCCTCATTTTACCTACCTCGAAAGGATGGAAGGCTGAGTCAACCTTGAGCCTGGTGAGATTTGAACTTGCAGTAATTGCAGGCAGCTGGTGTTACTTAACAGCACTTTAGTCTGCTGTACCACCAAGATTCTTAGCAATCCAGGTCATAGTTGTTTCAAAAGTGCTTTTTTTTTCTTCAAAAGACAACTGGACTGTTTTTCTTTGAGGAAGAAGAACAAAATAGCGCCTATCAAATCCTGCATCTGTTAATAACGGTGTCCCCCAAGGCAACCGACACTCTTCATACTATACATAAATGACCTTTGTGATCATATTATAAGTAACTGCGTTCTCTTCGCCGATGATGTAAAACCAATATTTAACACCAATAACAATGCTGCTACCCTTCAAAAAGACCTTGACTTTGTGTCGGAGTGGTCAAAAAATTGGCAACGCCAAATCTCAACCAAAAAATGCTCTGTCTTACACATTGGCAAAAGGAATCAGAACACAAAATACAAGCTGAGTGGACACGACCTTGTAGATGACCCTCACTCTGTCAAGGACCTTGGAGTACTCATATCAAATGATCTAAGTGCCAAAGCCCACTGTAACAACATCGCCAAAAAGGCATTAAGGGTTGTAAACCTAATCTTCTCCGGTAATATTACACTACTAACCAGAGCATACAAAACATTTGCTAAACCAATTCTCGAATACAGCTCATCTGTCTGGAACCCGCACCACATATCGGACATTAATACAACATATCCAGAAATATTTCACAAGAAGAGTTCTCCACTCCTCTACTCTCAACAAAATACTTTATGCCACCAGACTTGAAATTCTGGGCTTAGAAAACTTAGAACTACGCCGTCTTTGGTATGACTTAAGCATAGCTCATAAAATTATCTGCTACAATGTCCTACCTGTCAATGACTACTTCAACTTCAACCACAATAATACAGGAGCACACAATAGATACAAACTCAAAGTGAACCGCTCCAAACTCAATTGCAGAAAATATGACTTCAGCAACAGAGTGGTGAATGCCTGGAATGCACTACCTGACTCTGTGGTTTCATCCCAAAAATCCCAAAATGTTAACCTTAGACTGGCTACCGTTGACCTCACCCCATTCCTAAGAGGTCTGTAAGGGGCGTGCATAAGAGCACCAGCGTGCCTACCGTCCTTATCCTAATGTTCCCTTTAACTGTATTCATTTTATGTATTCAATTCATTTATATATACTGCTCAAAAAATAAAGGGAACACAAGCAGAAGACATCCGAGATCTGAATGAATGAAATAGCCTTATTAAATACTTTGTTCTTTACATACAGTTGTTTATACACTGCTCAAACAACTAAAGGGAACCCAAAACTATTGTATGTAATGAACAAAATATTTAATAAGGCTATTTCATTCATTCAGATCTCAGATGTCTTCTGCTTGTGTTCCCTTTATTTTTTTGAGCAGTGTATATTATCTAATATGTACTCAACAAATTAATTAATTAATTAATTAATTAAAAAAAGTTTCATTTCTCATCCAAGAAACTTCATCAGTTGTGGTGGTGTGGGAGAAGAAATGGAGGATAGCTACCGGCAATTGAGATTGGGTTGTGGGGGATGGAAAGATTTGTTCTGACCAAAACGTGATTTTTCTTCTGGTAAGGCAACAAGTTAGTCATACATCCAGTTGCTCAGGGCGGCTTGCTCTGTGCCTACCTGGCCACGCCCAACCATGCCAATTCATTCAGGCTGAGTCATCTGTGCCGAGCCACACTCATTCCCTTTTGTTGGTCTGGCCATGCCACCTATCCACGCCCACCTAGTTGTTCTCAGATAGCTGCACTCATCCATCCACGCATGCCCACCTGACTGCTAGGGGAAAGTTTTATCCCATTCCGGCTGGCAGAAAGCTGGCTGTCTTGCCAAAGGTCAAATTATTGGCAGCTCGCTCCCGGGTTTGATGGCTGAACATTCTGGAATTTTCCCATGAAACTTTTCAGACTTTTTGTAGACTTACTGCATTTAGAGATCCTGTGCTTCATAACTCTCAGGTAAGAGCATGCTGGAGAGCGGGGTGGGGGGGGGGGGACATGTCCAACTGCTGTCTGCCTGATTAGAGGTGCCGCCTTGGCTAATAACTTTTAACTTTCACTTATAACTTTTTTTTTCTTTTTCTTTTCCCTGTGGATGAGTGAATTACAAGTTAATTGGCTGGTTGAGTGTTGTTAAACCCAACACACTCCCTTGATGGATTACAGTTAAGGATTTTTATTGCCTCACTTCAAAAGGAGGCTTTTGACTGATTTACCACATGGAACTAATTGCATGTTCCATGTTCACATCAAGGCAAATTTCCGCTACAATGTGTGAAAAATGATCATAGGTTGCTTTTTTAAAAAATAATAATAATAATAATAATCTTTATTTACATTTTCCATTAAAAACAAACAAAAATAACAACACACCATATAAATAACATACAAGACAACATAACAAATAACAAACAAATCTGCAAGTACATTATATTCCGAGGGAGACAGAACGACTTATATCTCTTTATACATCAATTAGGTCTATCCGACCTCACTTTGTTAGTGTAATATAGGTTTCTCAGTAAATACCTTTCCTCTTTTCAATTGGGTTGTAGTTTTCTCTTCGCTAGCCAAGTATATAATTTTTCCCAGGATAAACATGTTTGAGTTTGATCTTTATCTTTTAATTTTTTAGTCAATTTATTTGCTTCCGCACAGTCCAAAATCTTTTTTATAATTGCTTCCTTCGATGGATTATAGGAGGAAGCAATTATAGGTTGCTTTTTTCAGTGCCTTTGTAGTTTCAAACGATCACTAAATGAATGGTTCTAAGTCAAGGACTACTTGTAGGCGATCCATACCTGGGCTGCAGGATGTGAGCCACACAAGAGGTTTCGGTGCTTTAGAGCAGTAGTCACCAACTCGTGGTCCATGGACCATTGGTGGTCCGTGAGAAAATTTTGGGGGTCCACAGAAAAATTATTTGTATTTTTTATATTGCACTAAATCAGGGGTCCTCAAACTACAGCCCCTGGGCTGGATACGTGCAATGAATGTTTGTGTTGCTGCAGAGAGTCTCTCCCTTTGGGGTCTTTTTGTGTGGGTCGGAGGGGGGCAGAAATTCCGACTTGGGGTCTGCCTCAGCCTCCTGGTGTGGGGTTTTGGGCGAAGGCTGGTGGGAAGTGCCGCTGATGGAGAAGAGCCGGAGGGTCTTGTTCCAGTGGGACAACATCATGGCCTGGAACTGGCTGACCATCTCAGCCCTCTGAGCCTCCAGGCACCGGTACCTGGCCTTGCACTCCCGCAGGTCTTCCCTCTGCTTGGAAAGCCTATGCTTGTAGTCCTCAGTGAGGTGCTTCTGCTGAGCCTCCTTCTCAGTCAGATCCAATCTGAACTGAGCTGTTTTGCCAACTCTTTCTCGTGGTGGCTGCTTAGCTCCAATAACTGCTTCCTGTTGGGGCCCTAAGGAGCCCGTGTGGGGAGGCGAGGAGTTGGCTACACCCACCCAGTCACATGACCATCTAGCCACGCCCACCCAGCTGGTCATTAAGCAGATCATATTAGTGGTCCACGGGATTGAAAATTATGAATTTAGTGGTCCCTGAGGTCCAAAAGATTGGTGACCCCTGCTTTAGGGAGATGGTGAATCTCTTATCCCTCCAGGCAGAGGTGAAATCTACTTACCTTCCCTACCGGTTCGTAAGTGCGTGCACGCCATCATCACATCCAATTTTTGACCCTCTGCGCATGCACAAAGCCTTCTGCGCATGCGCAGAGGATCAAAAAGGGGTTACTTCCCAGTTAAAACCGGGAAATAATGACGTCCGGGCAAGTGGACAGAGCCTTGAGCTGCCACTGCTGCCAGTTCGCCAAACCACACGCTGCCGCCCCTACCAGTTCGTGTGAGCCAGACAGAACCGGCAGAATTTCACCACTGGCTCCAGGCCCTCTCATGGTCTCAGGTGTAGAGCAAGAGAAAGGTGACAATCATGGCTCTCTGGTGCTGATTCAGGTAAGGGAAAACCAGGGATGTTATATGAATGATATATGAAGCTATTTTTTTTGTGTGTGTGTGTGTTGGCGCTTCAGGGCTGCCACATTTAGAGCCTGGAAAAACGGGAGGGGGGATTGCAAGGAGCCTATGGAGGATTAGCCATAACAACATTCCTTTCTATGGGAGTCAAGGACACTCAGCCTGCACCTGGATGGGAGTGACTGGGGGTCGTCTCCAGTTGGGACGTTGAAATTATTGGACCATGTGATGAACTTGTGGGTGCAGGGGATGGATCTTTGACTTTCTTTTGGGTGGGAAAAACCCAGAATTCTCAGATTCGGGTTTTCCCAGATGTGCCAGTATGGCATCTCTAATAAAATGGATCTTTGAGGAACTTCTAACCTCGGAGTCTTCTTTCATTAGGGGTATTACTTGAAACCCTGACAAATGAAGTATAACTCCAAGGCAGGGAGAGAGTCATCTTCACTCCAGGGACATGTAAGTCACAGGTTGCTGGAAAATTTTTTAAAAGCACCTGCACTGAGCAAAGGAAAGTGTTTAAATCAGTGGTGAAATCTAAAATTTGTTACCACAGGTTCTGTGGGCGTGGCTTGGTGGGGGGGTAATGTGACTGGGTGGGCATGGCCATTTTTTTTTTACTTTTAAAACTATTTTTTCTACAACCTCTTTGGCGAAGAGGTTGTAAAAAAATGCTTTCAAAAGGCTCTGATGATCCCAGCTGAGTTGCCTGATCGGCAGAGACTTTTTTTCTTTTAAATGCCTCTGACGATCAGGTAACTCAACTTGGATCGTCAGAGGCATTTAAAAGAACAAAAGGGTTTTTTTTTCTCAATCCGGTAGCGATGGAGGCAGGTGGTTCAGAGAACCAGTAGCAAAAATCTCTGCCCCCTCCCCATGTCCAGCTGAGCCGCGCGATCATCAGAGGCTTTTTTTTTTTACTTTTAAAAGCATTTGTTTGGCTGAAGAGGTTGTAGAAAAAATGCTTTTAAAAGTAAAAAAAAAAGCCTCTGATGATTGTGTGGCTCAGCTGGGCATGGGGAGGAGGGGCAGGGATTTTTGCTACCGGTTCTCTGAACCACCTGCCTCCATCGCTACCGAATCGGGCAATCTGGTCCGAACTGGGAGCATTTCACCCCTGGTTTAAATGTTTTGGAGGAACATTACAATCTTTGTAGTCTGGAAACAACAGGTAGCAATAGCAATAGCACTTAGACTTATATACCGCTTCACAGTGCTTTTGCAGCCCTCTCTAAGCAGTTTACAGAGTCAGCCTATTGGCCCCAACAATCTGGGCCCTCATTTTACTGACCTCGGAAGGATGGAAGGCTGAGTCAACCTTGAGCCGGTGAGACCCGAACTGCCAAACTCCTGGCAGCCAGCAGTCAGCAGAAGTAGCCTGCAGTACTGTGTTCTAACCATGCGCCACCGTGGCTCTTGGTAATATAGATAATAGCTGTTATGAACTGGATCTGTGAAGTCACCACCATAGTTATCCATTCCTAACCACAAAATGACAAATATGTGGTCTGACATGACATATGAGTTCCACTCCACTCTGGCATTGTGTGGTCATTTGTAAATATGTAGAATTTTATATTTGTCACTTGCCATGTTCTGCACAGATGCCCAGAGAATGCTTGCTTGCTTGCTTGCTTATTTATTTATTTATGCATTCATTCATTTATTTTACTTATATCCCACCAAAGCGGCAAAGATATTCAACACTCCTTCCTTCCTCCTATTTTCCCCACCATCACAACCTTGTGGGTTGGGTTGAGAGAGAGTAACTGGCCACAGTCATCTAGCCAATTTTCATGCCTAAGACAGGACTAGAACTCATGATCTTGACCTAATTCACACACTAGATACAGGATTAGCAATGTGCCATTCTCCAGATTTTTCGCTGTGGTCCTAGCTGCTGCCTTGCTGATAGGAATAATAGCCCAAAATATCTGCAGTGGCTTATTTCTACTTTGCTTAGGTTGAATGTCTTATATAAAAGCACTGCACTGTGGTTTATAAATGGTAATTTATAAATTAGTGTACTGTGTATGTCTACTTAATCATGGTTCTTTACCAAACAGGAAGGTATACCCTAGTGAAATCTGATTGTGTGGTACATATTTTTACATAAGGCAGTAAACACCTTCACACTTCTGTTTTTGGGTAAATTATGGAGACGTCTAAAACAGCTTCTGGATTATCTACAGTGGTGTGGCCCAACCTGAAGAGTTGAGAAGATTGGAGGTGTTTGGACTTGGTCTGCTTGAACTCCCCAGCCAAGAAGTCTGGGAGTTGACTTCCCACACCTCCAGGTTGCCCACGATGGGAAACACTGGTCTACTGATTTGGCCATTTCTGGCTACTGAATAGCCATTCTGCTCCCTGCTCTGCACAGAGATAAGGAAGCTCTTTAAATATTTTGGAGGAGCTTTGCAATTCAATACTATCTCCTTTTCAAAAGGAAAGAGCCTTTGTCTTTTTCCTGACTGAGGAAGCTATTAAACAATAAGTTTCATCCAGAAGTTGTAGTTGAGCTATCAACTGGTTTCAAGGGGAAAAAAATGAAAGAAGAGTGAAAAGAGTTTTCCCTTTTTTTCAAGCCAAGAAGTTGTAAGCAAGTAAGACAGGAAGCAAACTTCTTCCCAATAACAAAGAGATTGCTAATTTCCAAGAAAAGAAAAGAAGGAAGTTAGTTAAGAGAGCTCTGATTCTAACTTCTCATTTCAGTGGTGCTGCCATCCAGCAAGGTGAGTTGAACCTTCTTACCACGTTATCAACCTCCTCTTAACCTGAGATTGGAGATCTTGTTGGTTTAAGATTTTGTTTTTTCTTTCTGCTTTAGAAAATATGCAGAACTGCAGATATTCAAAAATGGGAACTCCTTTCATTGCGTACCGTGGTCATATTGCCACCGCTGTTATTGCTGCTGTGGCTTCTGCTGCTGTTGTATTTTTCATCGGTAAGTTATCCAAACTCTAATATTGCAAACTAGGTGATGCTTTTATTTTTGGTGAGGGTTTTGTTTTCTGCATTCCTTTCTACCCTCCTTCTGGGAGAAAACGATCCCAGCTGAGTTGCTTGATCCTCAGAGGCATTTAAAAGCATTTTTTTCTGCAACCTCTTCAACCGAAGAGGTAGAGAAAATGCTTTTAAAAGTAAAAAAGAAAAAAAGTTGGCCACGCCCACCCAGTAACATTACCCCCCCACCAAGCCACGCCCACAGAACATTTCACCACTGCTCTAGATAGCCTACAATTCAGAACACATGTGTCAGCCTCAGCTTGCCTGCTTCAGCTGCCATAAGAAACGGGGAGGGATTAGGTATGGAGCAAAGGGGGGGAAGGGAGCAGGAGGGGGTTTGTCTTTGTAGGAGGGGACTTCGTGGGAATCGAAACTGTATTTTCAAAAGGGGACGGCTGACCAACTGTCTCGACATTCCTGATGGATGACGCTGCCAGACGTGTTGCCACCTGACCTTTGGAAGACCTTTGGGTTGGCTGAGGATTTATAAACACGAGGGGGGGAAGAAGCTTAGTAGATGCATTTTGCGCGTTTTGCTCACTTCCAGCTTAACTGGGTTGTTAATCATTTCTTATTCAGTAAAAATACCAAATTCTTCAAAATGCTTGACTTTGGGGTTTTCTTTCCTGGATACTGAAGGAAGCATACCTGACATTAAGCTGGAAGTCTCAACCAGTCATCCCGGACCAAAACCGAGGGGACTGTAAATCCAAACATGTCAGATCGGGGGAGTGATGGAGAAGAGAAAATGGGGGCAGCCAGTTCAACTGCCTTCCAGTCGGAAAAGGAGACTGCAGAATGGTTAGAAAAACTTCGTCTGGAGACGGAGGAGGCCAGATGGTCAAAAGGTGTGGGGAGACTGCTGGACTGGGGAGAAGAACCCCGGGGAGTGACAATTTCCAGACCCCGGAAAAGAGAGGCAGTGTGGATGCAACAGCACAAGGAACGCCTCATGATAGATCAAGCCTTGCAGCTTATCCGTGATGTGGAAGAAAGCAGAAAAAACCGTGAGTCTTTTGAAATTCCTGTGGAGAAGGGGGAAGCAGGCCCCCGGGGGGGGCCCCGAAGAGACAGCCTGCGGGGGAGAGGAAGAGTTTGAGGAGGGAACATCCCAGGCTTCGGCAGCTCGAGGGAGAGATGCAGCCGGCCAGAGAACCCCAGCCTTGCAGGCCCCTCCCCGCAGATGAAAAAAGCCAAAAATCCCCCCCCTTCCTGGGAAGTTTGATGGGAATCCAAAAACCTTGGGATTTTTCCTGACCCAAGTGTGGAACCACATGGAGGACTGGGGGGAGGACTACGAAACAGAGGCGGCAAAAGTCAGAGGTGTCGCGAATGCCCTAGAGGGAGTAGCTGCTGAGTGGATGGTGGTTCTCCACAATAACAACTCCCCCTTGCTGAGAAATTACAACCAGTTCATGAGGGCCCTTAGAAGGCGTTTTGAAGACCATTTAGCCGAACGAAAGGCGAGACTCAGAATGAAGAGCATTCAGCAGGGCCGGAGGCCGGTGGCAGAGTATATCCAAGAGTTTCGTGAACTGGCACCCTATATGACAGGCTGGTCAGAAATGGCTCTTTTGGAGAGCTTCAAAGATGGATTGAATGAAGAGATATATCGAGACTGCAGGAGCATGGGGGTCCCCGATGATTTGGATAGATGGTACATAGTAGCTGAGGATGTGGAGATCGAGCTGAAACGGAACGAACTCTGAGGAAGGCGAATGGGAGACCAGTCATCCTCTTTCTACTGTAAGGGACCGCCCAAGATGACTGGCGGGAAAACCGAAACCAAACCCAAGTCAAAGCCCTTCACCTGTTTCAAATGTGGGAAGGAGGGTCACCGGGCGGCCGAATGTTTCTCCAAACCACCACCAAAAGCCACCGGGACCAGCCAAAAGAAAGGCGATAAAATACCCGCCAAAACCCGCGGCACCGTCCTGAAAGGAGAAGTCATTGAGTTCACTCCCCGGAACCAGGGTGAGTTGGGAACTCCGACCAACGATGATGACAGCGAGACGGACTCCGACTCTGACACCGACGAACGGGTGAGTCGCACGGAAGAACCCTTACTCATCCCCGTAGAAATAAGGGTGCCCTCCACAGGAACTCACGTGCAATTGTTAGCCCTGTTGGACTCTGGGTGCACTAGGTGCATAATTAGCCCCAAAGTAGTGGAGGAAATGGGACTGAGATTGAAAACTTTAAAAAGACCCATTGCATTTTGTCAATTAGAAGGGTCGATTGCAGGAGGGGGCCCAGCTAGTTTTATGACCGAACCCCTTGAACTGCAGTTGGGGAATCATGTAGAGAAGCTCAGTTTTATCGTAGCACCTGGCATGGAAAGGCCCCTCATTCTAGGACTGCCCTGGCTTCGTAAATGGAACCCACGAGTAAATTGGAGAACGGGAGTCCTGCGCATCCGTACGGCAGAACCTACTCCGGAAAAGGAAGGCCCCTCCCTAAGGGACGACATAAGACCAGAAAGGGCAGCAGTAGCCATTAACTATATTGAGAGAGAAGAGAAAATTCCAAAGGAATATTGGGACCTCAAGGAAGTATTTAGTGAAAAAGCATCGGATGCTCTACCTCCCCACAGGGCCACTGACTGCACCATTGAAATACTCCCAGGGGTGAAGCTTCCCAAACCAAAAATATACCCCATGACACCTCGGGAACTGGGGGAATTGCGAAATTTTATTGACAAAAACTTAGAACGGGGATTCATCGAACGAGCCAAACCCAAGGTGGCAGCGCCAGTAATGTTCCGCGAAAAGAAAGATGGATCCTTCAGATTAGTTGTTGATTATAGAAACATGAACGCCATTTGCGTGGAAAATGTCTATCCCCTCCCACTTATGAAGGACATGTTGGCCCATTTAGGGAAGGGAAAATTTTTTACCAAACTTGATTTAAGAGAGGCATACTACCGAGTGAGAATAAAAGAAGGAGATGAATGGAAGACAGCATTTAATTGCCCACTGGGATGTTTCCAGTTTAGAGTACTCCCTTTTGGACTACAGGGGCCCCCGACTGTATTCATGCAGTTGATCAACGAAGTGTTGCATGAACACCTATATAAAGGGGTGTTGGTCTATTTGGACGATATTCTAATTTATTCTGACAACATGGCCGACCACGTAAGATTGGTTCGAGCGGTTTTAAATAAACTCAGAGCAGCTGAGCTCTATGCTAAACTTTCTAAATGTGAATTCCATCAAAACAAAATCGACTATCTTGGATATCGTATATCGCATGAGGGAATAGAGATGGACCCGGAAAAGGTCCGGGCAGTAATGGAATGGGCCACACCGCGCACCCGTAAACAGTTACAGAGTTTCTTAGGGTTTGCTAATTTTTATAGACAATTTATCCCCTCTTTCGCGAAAATCGCACTACCAATTACAAACTTGCTAAAAACCAAAGGGGAAGTAAAACCCAAACCCTCGAAACCACTAGACTGGACTATGGACTGTCAGGCCGCTTTCGAAAAACTGAAACGCCTGTTTGCAGCTGAACCTGTGCTCAAACACCCCGACATAGAACAACCTTTTGTAGTACAAGCTGATGCTAGCGACGTCGCCGTAGGAGCAATACTCTTGCAAAAGAACGAGAATGGAATATTACAACCCTGTGCTTACACATCCCGTAAACTATCCGAGACAGAAAGGAGATGGGCCATATGGGAGAAAGAAGCGTTTGCAGTTAGATGGGCGCTGTTAACATGGAGACAATTTTTAGAAGGGGCGAAACACCCTTTCGAGGTGTGGACTGACCATAAGAATCTAGAAGCATTAAAAACTCCACGCAAACTATCACCGAATGCTGGGCCCAACATTTCAAGCGATTCAATTTCACTTTACGTTACCTTCCTGGGGGGAAAAATTTCATGGCGGACACACTTTCCAGATTGCCACAGTACAACAGCATAAAGAAGGAAGTGGTTCAACCGATGATCCCCTTAACTCAATTGGCAACACCTGTCACTACCAGAGCACAGAGTAAAACCAATCCAGAACTCTCGGGGGATTTACTCGAAAAGTTACGAGAAGCGCTAAAAGCTGACGAGTGGTTTAAAATCCACTCGAATGAATACACACTTCGCGACGGACTAGCTTGGGTTGGATCGAAATTGTATGTTCCGACCACATTAAGGCCGACCATATTGAAATATGCTCATGATGCCAAAGCCGCAGGACACTTTGCGTTTGTCAAGACTTTACATCTTGTTAAAAGACAGTTTTGGTGGCCTGCACTTAAAAAAGACATAGAGGCATATGTGGCTAGCTGTCCAGTATGTGCCTCGGCTAAAAGACCTCCAGGAAAATCCCCTGGATTACTGCAAAGTGTGGCTAGACCAAACGCCCCATGGAAGGAAATATCTATGGATTTTATTGTGGACTTACCAAACAGTGAGGGCTGCACTGTCATTTGGGTAGTAACTGATTTGTTTTCCAAACAAGTACATTTCATACCTTGCTCAAAGATCCCTTCAGCAAAAACCCTCGCAAAACTGTTTATTAGGCAGATTTACCGACTACATGGGTCTCCGAAAAGAATAATTTCTGACAGGGGTGTGCAATTTACTTCCAGTTTCTGGAGAGAATTTTTGAAATTGATAGGCTCCGCACAGGGATTGAGTTCCAGTCACCACCCTCAGACAAATGGGGCTTGTGAAAGAACCAATGGGGTGCTCGAACAATACCTTAGGTGTTACGTAAATTACCAACAGGACAATTGGGTAGACTTGTTGCCATTTGCAGAAGTGGCATATAACAATTCTGTACACAGTAGCACCGGATTCACCCCTTTTAAGGTCGCATCGGGCCAGGATTTTGTACCCATTCCCGAGTTACCTCAAGATGATCCCCAAAATCCCTCCCTGATGGATTGGATTGAACAACTAAAAAGCACCTGGGCAGTGACTCGCAAGGCATTAGATGAAGCACACCGAGCTCATAAGGCGCAAGCCGATAAGAAAAGGTCCCCAGCTCACATTTATAAAGTAGGGGACAAAGTCTATTTGTCTACCAAATACTTACAAACCACCCAGAGGTCCAAAAAGCTGGGGCCTAAGTATGTACGACCATTCCATGTGATTAGACTGATTAATCCAGTGACAGTTGAATTGGAATTGCCAAAAACCTAGAGACGGATACATCCTGTATTTCATGTTAGTTTATTGAAACCTGAACACTCATCTCCCCTAAGGCCTGATCGAAGCACCCCTCCAATTCCCATTCTCATAGAAGGGGAGCAACATTTTGAGGTTAAGGAAATCTTGGACTCTAGAAAACACCATGGTAAAGTCCAATATCTGATTGCCTGGAAACATTTTCCACTATCTCAGGCTGAATGGGTAAATAAACGGGATGTCCGAGCTCCCAAGAAAGTACAACAATTCTATACCAAATACCCTGATAAACCCTAATCATTGTATATATTCTGTTTTTCTCTCTCTTCTTTCCTTTTATTTAGGACTAACGTCTCTTCTGCAAGGGGGGCCGAATGTCAGCCTCAGCTTGCCTGCTTCAGCTGCCATAAGAAACGGGGAGGGATTAGGTATGGAGCAAAGGGGGGGAAGGGAGCAGGAGGGGGTTTGTCTTTGTAGGAGGGGACTTCATGGGAATCGAAACTGTATTTTCAAAAGGGGACGGCTGACCAACTGTCTCGACATTTCTGATGGATGACGCTGCCAGACGTGTTGCCACCTGACCTTTGGAAGACCTTTGGGTTGGCTGAGGATTTATAAACACGAGGGGGGGAAGAAGCTTAGTAGATGCATTTCGCGCGTTTTGCTCACTTCCAGCTTAACTGGGTTGTTAATCATTTCTTATTCAGTAAAAGTACCAAATTCTTCAAAATGCTTGACTTTGGGGTTTTCTTTCCTGGATACTGAAGGAAGCATACCTGACAACATGTTACAATTGATTCTTTATGTTAATTACTTTGTCACAAATATAACATATAGAAGACAAATCAATAAATTGCAAATAGATTTAGTAGTTTAAAAAAATTTAGAGGCCCTGTTTTGCAAGGGGTAGGAACTAATGTCATAATAATGTATTAATCAGTATTCAACTGGGGGGGGGGGTAATATTTGTATATATGTTGGGGGCGGGGTTGATGCATCTTTTTCTTTTTTTAGTGTTTTGATTGTTTTATGGGTTTTTTTCTTTTTTGTCTTCTTTTTTTTTAGTTTTGTATTTTGTGTTTTAACCTTGTCAATATATATATATAGAACATGTTATAACTGAAAATTTAAAAAAACCATTTAAAATCAATAAAAAGAGTAGAAAGCATTTTCCAATGAGACAAATCGAGAGAGGAAGATCATTTTATTACAATTTACAGAATATTCAGGCAAAAGGGATTCCCCTCATTCAAAGAGGGAGCTTCGATCCTTAGCTTACTTCCCCTTTTATAAGTAACATAACAAAGGAAAAATGAAAGAGGAAAGTTGGATGGACAAGATAAAAGTAATCCCTCCTTTTCACAATAAATCAACCACAAAGGTTGTTTGAAGTTAGATGGCCAAATGCCAGTTGACACCAAGAAACTTTTTCTTACTAGGAGATAGCAGCCGCGCGGGTAGTTACGGGGGCGTCTAGATACTCCCGTTTAACACCTCTCCTGCGTGAGCTGCACTGGCTACCAGTGGCACTCCGGATACGTTTCAAGGTGCTGGTGCTCACCTATAAAGCCCTTCATGGCTTAGGCCCGGAGTACTTGCAGGACCATCTCTAGCCGTTCTCCCATCGTCCTGTGCGCTCTCACAGAGTCGGCCTCCTCAGGGTGCCGTCGGCCAAACAATGTCGGCTGATGACCCCAGGGGGAGGGCGTTCTCTGTGGGAGCCCCGACCCTCTGGAATGGATTGCCCACTGAGCTCAGGACAGCCCCCGACCTTCTTTCCTTCCGTCGCGAGCTGAAGACGTGGCTCTTCCACCAATTAAACTGATCCATTTGGGGGTACACTGGTATAATTTTAAATCGTTTTTTTAATTGGGTTACTGATTTTAATTTGGTATTGTATTGTGATTTGTATTGAAGTTGTCATTTTGTAAGCCGCCTTGAGTCCCTAGGGAGAAAGGCGGCATATAAATCTAAATAAATAAATAAATAAATAAATAAATAAATAAATAAATAAATAAATAAATAAATAAATAAATAAATAGTATCCTGCCACCCTTCTGTAACTTTTATTTTTTCAGTTTAGGAATGTTAGAAGCTATCTAATCAATCCATACAGCCATAAGATTAAAAAAAAAGTTTTCCTACATTCCAGTCTAATGGTTTTATAAAACCTTATCACCATTTTAAAAGAGATGAAAAGTAAGTCAATTCAAAATATAAAGTAATTATGTTTAAAATACAAAGTAAAATATAAAATAACTATGAGCTAACAAATTACAAAATCCATGTCATTTGGCCCTCCTGGTGCATTCAGTGCCTCAGGCTCAGGAACATACTGTAGTCAGGTTTTTAGGGCCTTACGAAGGCAAACAAGGCTAGAACCAGTGGTGGAATTCAAAATTTTTTATTATCGGTTCTGTGGGTGTGGTTTGGTGGGCGTGGCAGGGGAAGGATACTGCAAAATCCCCATTCCCTCCCCACTCCTGGGGTAAGGATATTGCAAAATCTCCATTCCCACCCCACTCTGGGGCTATTTGCCGATTCTCCAAACTACTCAAAATTTCCACTACCGGTTCTCCAGAACCCGTCAGAACCTTCTGAATAGCACCCCTGGTTAGGACCATACTTGTCTCCAAAGGGAGAATGTTCCATAAAGTGGAGAACACTGGTGAAAAGCTCCCACCACCACCAATGGTTAAAAAAGCTTGTAAATCTCCCCTCAGCCACAGAAGTTCCTTGGATGGCTTTGGGCCTTTTGCCTTCTCTCTCAGGCCAGCTTACCTCTCAGGATGATTGTGCAAAAAAATGGGACCTTGATCAAGAAAAAGAAGCAAATAAATCTAACAGATAAAATAAATCAGTGCATGGAAGTCTCACCCTGCCTTATTCCCTCTCCATTCCAAAGGAGACCGAAACAGAGAAGGAAGGTCCTGCTATTTCCATATATACTACACAGTCTGCTAACTTTTCACCATCTTATTACCCATTGCAACCTTTAATCCCCTGTTCCAAAAGTTCAGTATGCTCCTTAGCCAATGAAAGCTTGAGCATTTCTGCTCTAGAGGTGCAGATTTCCAGCTATTCCTTATTACAGATAGTCCTCAACATATGACCAATTACTTAGCCACTGTTTGAAATTATGATTCAGCTCTCAAGGGCTATAGATTCAAAGTTATAACAGATGTCTTCCCCTCCCTCCCCAACTCAGGAGATCTTGTGATCACATTTGAGGTGCATTTCAGAGGTGGGTTTCAGCAGGTTCTGACCAGTTCTGGAGAACCGGTAGCGGAAATTTTGAGTAGTTCAGAGAACCGGTAGTAAAAATTCTGACTGGCCCCGCCCCCCCATCTATTCTCTGCCTCCCGAGTCCCAGCTGATTGGGAGAAAATGGGGATTTTGCAGTAACCTTCCCCTGGATTGGGGAGGGAATGGATATTTTACAGTATCCTTCCCCTGCCACGCCCACCAAGCCACACCCACCAAGCCATGCCACACCCACAGAACTGATAGTAAAAAATTTTGAAACCCACCACTGGTGCATTTGTGTATTGTGTGGTCAGATGACTACGATTTACAACATTTGTGCTGGAAACATGTTTGCTTCTAATTTCTGACAAAGAACACACATTGGGGAAAATGGATTCACTTTACACTCACCATGTTTGGTTTATGGCCACTGCATTCGCTTAATGACCATTGCAAAAAATGTTGTAAGATCAAGTCAGTTGTGTGATGCCTCGGCTTATGACCATCACGACTTACATCAGAAATTCCAGACTTCATTACGGTCATAAGTCGAGGACTAGCTGTATTCCCCATGCACATTTATGCTTAATGGACTGTGGAGAGTGTTTTTTAGATCATGATCACTTTTTTCCCCCCTCAGTATCGTTGGTAAATAAGCCGACCTTAAACCCAGATGACTGTAAGCTGCTATTGGCAACCTCTGAACATGGGAGACGCCCGTGCCTGCCTAACTGGATTGGGTACCAGATGAAATGTTTCTACTTCTCAGATGAAGAAAAAACTTGGTCCGCTAGTCAAGACTTTTGCTCGTTGTACAATGCCTCTCTAGCCATTATTGAAAAGGAAGAAAAGGTAAGAGGTGAAAATATCCTACTGTATTGTGGATGGTGCCAATTTCATTTAGGTCCCACATACACCTCAGTTCTGCTAGCAGGGAATTGATTTCATACAATCTCAATTGGTTTTCATTTTGTGCTGGTCCGTGACCACAGCGAAGATTGAAAAAAAGTTTGGATTGATTTTCATTAAGGATCATGGGTGGGCTTCAAAAAATTTAGCAAGGGGTTCCCTGCCCGGTTGCTGGGTGGGCGTGGCCATGGTGGGCATGGCCTAGTCGGTCTCCTGCACCATGGCGGGAGGGGGGGCATTTTTGCCCTCCTTGAGCTCCGGAGGTTTTTCTTCAGCCTCCAGGAGGGCGAAAATGGCCTCCCCAGGCTCCGGAGGCCCTCTGGAGGCCAGAAACGGGCCCATTTCCGGCCTTCCTGAACTTCCGGTAGGCCCATTTTTCACCCTCCCCAAGCCCCCACGCGTGCCCTGCACTTACCTGCATCCAAAACGGGCCACGTGGGCACTCCTGGGAGGGGTGGGGTGGGCGGGGCCAGCCAAGAGTGGATTTGGGGGTTCTCCGAACTGTGCAGAATCTTAGCTAGAGGTTCTCCCAAATCCCTGCGAACCCCTAGCAGCCCACCCCTGTTAAGGATGATTATCTATTGCTTTCTAATTTACGGCCAGTGTCTTTAGCCTATGTCTACTACAGGTAGACCTTATTTAATGATTGCCTTGTTTAGTGACCGTTCATAGTTACTTTTTTCCAGATTTCATCTTTCCAACTTTTTTTCTTCTTTAGCTTTTTCACTTCTTTTTGTTCTATGTTCTGGAACTGAGTTAAGGAAACACACAGTAAACTCTCCTTTTTGAAATAGCTGCACCCCTTTTAAAGGGAACAACTGCCTTTTCTCCTGGGTGGGATCCTTTTTAACCCTTCAGGGAAAGGATGGAATGGAGAGAAAACAGCACAGTCGTTTTGCCTTCATGCATCCTCTGCTAAGATATATTGAAATCATTGATATTAGGGCTGGTTAGCACTCTGATTTGACTCTGAAAGGGGGCTTTGAAGTCTAAGGGGTATCAACATAGCAGCTCTCTGCAACTATTTAAAATAGCTGCATCTTTTCCTGGGATTCTGATCAGAGGTGGGTTTCAGCATGTTCCGACCAGTTCTGGAGAACTGGTAGCGGAAATTTTGAGTAGTTCGGAGAACCAGTAGTAAAAATTCTGACTGGCCTAACCCCCATCTATTCTCTGCCTCCCAAGTCCCAGCTGATCAGGAGGAAATGGGGATTTTGCAGTAATCTTCCCCTGGATTGGGGACGGAATGGAGATTTTACAATATCCTTCCCCTGCCAAGCCCACCAAGCTACACCCACCAAGCCATGCTATGCCCATCAAGCCACGTCCACAGAATCGGTGGTAAAAAAATTTGAAACCCACCACTGATTCTGATGCAGGAGCTGGCTTAAGGAGCTGAAGACTTTATGTTCTGAAGCGCTTTGGGGGAAATGGAGCAGGCAGTCATTGTATCCTTGTATGAATTCCTACGTAATATATAATATATAATCAAACAATATTATAGAATTATTGGCCATCTCTAAATATCTGTGATTTGATTATTGAGGAAATAGCTAAACAATTAAAACCTATGTACACTTGGGGGGGGAGTGTCTATAAATATTTCAGAGTGATTTTAATGTTTACCATTTATTGTCTCCAAAGGCTTTTGTGCAGCGTTACAAAGGCACCATTTCCCACTGGATTGGCCTCCAACGAGACCCAAATCAACCCTGGAAATGGGTCAATGGAAATGCTTCAACGTGAGTCATCCTTTCTCTCTTATGTCTTCACTTGAGGAATAGTGAGATGGGCGGCATATAAATTTAATAAATTAATTACATAAACTCTACACCAGCCAAATGCTGAAAAGAAGTGGCGTGCGGTTTATTCATCATCCAGTGCCGTCCTGTTTCTTTCATCGAGCACAAATGCAGGGCATATTTTCATAAATGCCAACTTTGTGCCTAAAACTAGAGAATTTAGTGAATGGAAGTGTGAGAGAAAAATTATTTCTCAATTGCTGTGCCTATTAATGGCTTTTGGAATGGACAAGTAAATAAGCCAATCAGAAGGCAGCTGATGGGTTTGAATCTCCCGGGCTTTAATGTTCCCTCCCCTAACTGTCATAGTTGACAGTATAAAAGTAGATTCTTAACAGAAAACCGTTGGCAGTTCAGAAGGCAGTTCTGAGAGCAGTTCGGATAGGCAGTGAGGAGTATTCTGTTCAACTCTTCTGTTAGAAAACTGGACTGTTTGGAACTCAGTTAGAAGGGCGGTCTCTGATGCAGTTCTGATGGTTTACAAGACTCTTTCTTCTGAGGAAGAATAGCCAGAGCTAACATCGATTAGATTGATTACATATATAGGCTTTTTTTTCTGGCAGCCAGCAAACACTCTACTGCCCATTTGGAGACTAAGGAGAGTTAGTCTCCCAATGGGCAGCAGAGTGTTTGCTGGCTGCCAGAAAAAAAAAGCCTAGAAACTAGTGGATTGTGATTTCATATATATATCTGACAGGATATTTAAGCAAAGTAATGAAATACTATTTAGTATTTGAATAGATATTGTTTTATTTTTATATTAATAAAAACATTTATTGTTTACTGCTTCAGAGGCTCATTTGTTAAAGTAGATTTTAATAGAGATAAAGGTTTACGGTTCATTGATTTATTTCCTCCACGGCAGGAAGCAAGCCAATGTGATGTAGTGGTTAAGTTATTGGACTCGACAAACCCAGGTTAGGTCCTCTCACAGCCATGCAAGATGCCTGGGGATTATGAGCTGGTCCTTCTTTCTCAGCCCCGGAGCCAGTGTGGTCTAGTAGTGAAGATTTCACACTAAGAGTGTCGAGACCCAGGTTCGAATCTCCTTTGAGCCACAGAAGATCCCTTGCTGACTTTAGGCCAGATCCTCTCAGCCATACCTGCCTCACATGTTACTTGTGAGAGCCAGTTTGGTGTAGCAGTTAAGGCAGCAGGATAAAAAAACTGGGAACCGTGAGTTCTAGTTGTGCCTTGGGCACAAAGCCAGCTGGTGATCTTGGGCCAGTCACTTTCCCTCAAACCTAGAAAGGAAACAATGGCAAACCACTTCTGAAAAACATTACCAAGAGTTGTCCAGATAATCTCCAAGAATGGGACATAAGAAAAAAAAATGTAAAATAAAAATAAAAATAAATTAGTCCCTAAACAAAAAACTGGAGTATAAGTCTAACAAATAAATGCATAAAGAAGAAGAATAGCCCCAATATGGCTGCTTTCTAAATTAACTTCAAATCCTAGTTCAGAATTAGGGCTCAGGAAGAAAATAGACACATAAGTAATCACACGGGATGAAACCAATCAAATATAGAACATTTTATACTGGTTTTCTTTATATGCGGCAGATTTTGTTAATGTATAATTTTTCTCCCAATTTTTTTCCCAATCTTCTAACTCAATGTTGTGCCCAATATTTTTAGCCCATGCTATCATTGGTCCCTTTACAATTTCTTCTTCTAAATCAAAATTTAATAAATAAATATATATTTTAGATAGTAATTTCTCTTCCAGGCCTGTTAATAATTCATTTAACTGTGTAAATTTTGGTTCAAATCCAAATTTCTCTAAATCTTTTTTGTATTTAGATTGCAATTGAAGATACGGCCACCAATCTATAATTATTCCCTGTTCCTTTAATTCTTGGTTAGATTTTAATCTTCCTCCATTGTCCAAAATTTCATTGTATTTTACCATTTTACCAATATCTAATGTGTTGGGGTAGATCATTGCCTCCATAGTGGATAACCATCTTAGTATTTTGAGATAATGTTTCTTCCAAATTCCCTCCCAAGTCTGTATCAGTGAATCTCGCAGTGTATGTCTATAAAAATATGAATGTGAATGTTTCTTATTTCTGGTGTTCCATATGAAGGCATGCCACCCCATATGAAGATCATGTCCTTCCAGTGCTAAAATTCTCCTATTTAAATTAGGAGCAAATTATAATATATAATATATTAATAGCAAACTGATGGCCTCCAGATAGACTCCAGTTCCCATCAGCTCTGAGTACAGAATGAGTTATAGATCAAAGTTGCTGGGAAACACCACACTGGCTACTGTCAGACTAGCCCATATGAATCCACTGCTATCTTCTTATCACCCACGCAACTTTGCTTCTTTGCTCACCTGTTGATGAGCTAAGATCTGCTCATTCTTGACTCAGCAAAAAAACTATACTGGCATGAAATTTGGGGCCTCCATTGCTACCTCTCCAATCCAAATCACTGTGGTTGCCTGACTTTCTACCAAATTGTGAAGTAAATCTGATGCACCTTGTGACTGCTCTTGGAGATTGTTAGAATACAGAATCAAATTAGGACACCAAATTAAGTCAATTAAGGGTGAATTAAGCCTCTCTTACAGGTGGGGGTGAGAGGAAAGCAATGCTATGGGGACATGGCAGAAAAGAGATGTTGCTAGGTCAAGTTGATGGTGTGGTTAGATGCCAATGGGGGAAACAGCTTTTCACTCTCGTTGCCCTTGTGTTGCAGGTGGGAGGTCCTCGGTGATGGAGGGCACTGTGCCTTCCTGAATGACGAAGGGAAAGCAAGCTGTTCCAGGTGCCAGACCCTCCATCACTGGATATGCAGCAAACCTGACGAATTCACAAGTCCAAAGATAGTTTGAAGTCATATGGCTTCCAATCCACTCAACTGGAATTATCTCCTAATATTGGCTAAAGTAACAGATGGGCCTTATTTCCAGAGAAGGGGAAATTATTTCTGCCTTTGCACACTGTAAACCTAGCATATCTGCTAGGGATATGGTTTTCCTTGGCTCTTGCTGGTCAGTATTCAAATCTTAGGATGTCCTTTTTGAACAGATAACAGCCGCTGGAATCAGGGTGGTGGTATGAAATAGAGGGGACAGAGATTCCCCCTCTTCCCCTTTGACTGTATTGTGTTTCCCCGAAAATAAGACCCTGTCTTATATATTTTTTGAACCCTGAAATAAATGCTTGGCCTTATTGCCAAGCCTGATTGGGTTTATTATCAGGGGATGTCTTATTTTGGGGAAAACAGGGTATTGAAAGAAACTCTTCTCAGGCCCTGGGTTGGGATAGGTAGAAGATGCTTCAGTTGTTTAATCAGTTGCTTATTTCCTCTGGATTTTCTTCTGCATAATATAGTCTGTGTTTCTGCTGTTGCACTAATATTATTATTATTCCTTTATACTGTTTACATTTCTACATTGTTTACTAGTCTAAACTGTTTACATCTCCATATAGTTTAGACCGGTGGTTCTCAACCTGTGGTCCGCGGACCACTGGGGACTGGCAGTATTGACACAGGGGATCCCTAAAGACTTGAAAAATGTTATGATTTAAATAAAAAGTATTTAAATAGGATCCGTGGTGTAGAAAAGGTTGAGAAACTCTGGATAGCAGTAGCAATAGCACTTAGACTTATATACCGCTTCACAGTGCTTTACAGACCTCTCTAAACAGTTTACAGAGTCAGCCTATTGCCCCCCAACAATCTGGGTCCTCATTTTACCAACCTCGGAAGGATGGAAGGCTGAGTCAACCTTGAGCCTGGTGAGACTCGAACTGCCGAACTGCTGCCAGCCGGCAGTCAGCAGAAGTAGCCTGCAATACTGCATTCTAACCACTGTGCCACCATGGCTCTTATAAGACCTCTTTATTGATTTCAGCATTATATTGTTACACCTCTGCTTCCTAAGTTGCATTGGTTGCCAGTTTGCTTCTGGGTCTAATTCAAGGTGCTGATTTTAATCTTTAAAATCCTTCATGGCATGGGACTGGGTTATCTGAGCAACTATCGGTCCCCAGTTTCATCTTCCCATCGCATCAGCTCTGGCAGAGAAGGCATCTTGCTAGGGATCTACCCTTAGAGCAGGGGTGGGCAACTGTGGCCCTTTTACAACCTGTGGACTTCAACTCCCAGAATTCCTGAGGCAGCCAAGCTGACTCAGGAATTCTGGGAGTTGAAGTCCATAGGTCATAAAGGGGCTGTATTTGCCCACCCTGCCTTAGAGGGCCTTCTCTACCCTAAGACTCTCTTTATGGGACATTCCTTCCCCCCCACCCCCATGAAATTAGCTCCAACCCTGTTGGTTTTCTGGAAGTCCCTCAAATCCTGGTTATGACATCACACCAGGAGATCCTAGGGAATCAGTGAGATTGTGATGTGGGTGCACTGCTGCTATTGACATCTACTTAAAAGCCTTGTGAATTTATTTTTTTAAATAATGACTTTTATTATATGTTTACTATTTCAGCCCCTATCATTGCCAAATATAAATGCCATGAAGATAATGTTTATTATCTTTTCAAAGGATGCTAACCCCATATCCAAAATTCAGAGGACCAAATATAAAGTTAAATATCAAATACCAAGCTATACAACAAAACTTTTAATTTTATAGTCCTATTATTTTTTCTCTTCCCCAATACACTATTTCCCTTTTTACTGCATTATTTTACTGTAAAAGCTGGTCAAATGCTGTAATAATAATATTTGGATTGATTTGATTTGCTATGCTACTATTTTATTATTAAATTGCATGCAGTTCAGAGTCACTTTTGGGAAGATGGATATATACTTGAAATAAAATAAATTAATTAATGCATAAAAGTAGTGTATGTTGAAAATCTTGGCAAGGGTTTTATTTTATATCCCGTTATAATGATACACCAGGTTCTTTCTTGGCTACTGTGATAAGTGTTGTCAGAAAAATGCTCATCTAAAGGAAAAAAACAAACCATCTGGAGACTGAATCAACAAATGATACTTTATTGGAATATCACTGGGGCCAGCTCAGCTATCAAAACAACACTCTGTGTAGAGTTACCATATACCAGGACAGGCAAAGGATGTCACAAACATTGTTAAATTTTCCTAGCATCCACAACAAACATTACAGGAAACACTAAAGAAAGGGGGGGTGGGGAATCCTTCATAGTTTGTATTTTGTTTACACATTTAATTTTTTGAAGGTTTTTTTTCCCGCAAGGTTAAAATACAGTTTTGTTATAAAAAATATATTACACATTTTTTAAAAGATACAGCAAAAAATGCAAACATTCTCCGGCATCAGAAAGATTGATTTTTCAATCACAATGTTTTTTCAACAAATCTTCACTTTCAAGAACATTGCTAGCAATAAGATAGAATTATTATATTGTCCCTCAATATGAACTAGACTTGTACATGATTAAGATTAGAAATGAAGAAAAGAAAAGAAAATGCAGATGTGCCAATAGCATAACGGGTCTATGCCGCCCCCTGCTGGCCACATCAAGCCAGCCGTGTCAAGTCCTCCCATTTCCTAGAAATAATTGGTGGGGTTTTTTTTTAAGATGAAGAAGTGAGCTGTTGAATTGGCAAAACCGGCTGTGTCCTTTCTCCCCTTGTGAAGCCAGGGTGAAGGGCAGATATGTGTCTTTTCTGTAGCTGTTAGTACAACTTCAAAATATATGGAGGTACCAGGCTGGGGAATTCTGGGACTTGAAGTCCATACATCTTAAGATACATGTGAACCAGGGATGAGAACCTTTACCTTTACTACTGGTTTGCAACAGGGCCACGCACACGGTCTTCTGCGCATGCGCAGAAGCATTCTGATGACATCGTGGTCGGTGGGCGGAGCCTCCCGCTGGTTTTACTACCGGTTCTATAGAACCGGTGTGAACCGGGGGCAACCCACCACTGATGTGAACATAAAAAAACACTAACTAATAAACATTTTTAAAGCATCCAGAAAACCAGATGTATACATGCTCCATTGCCCTAATCAAAATGAGCAGGCCTCCTCCAAAACGACATTCAATTTTTCATTTTTAACTTCAGAAACTTTTCAGTGTTTCCTGTAATTTTTCATGGCACAATATAGTACTTCATTAACGTGAACTGCCCTCAACCTATGATCACAAATGAGCTTAAAATTGATATTGCTAAGTGAGAAATTTGCTAAGTTCTCACTTTCGTCCCATGCTACAACTTTTCTCGCCACATTTGTTAATGTGAATCACTGCAGTTCTTAAATTAGTAACACTGTTGTTAAATGAATCTGGTTTCCGCATTGACTTTGCTTGTCAGAAGGTCGCAAAGGATGATCACATCGTCCTGGGACGTTGCAATTGTCATAAATGTGAGTCAGTTGTCAAGCATTTGAATGTAAATGACGTGACCATGGGGCAGTGATGGCTAACCTTTTTCCAATCGTGTGCCAAAAGTGGGGGGAGTGGGGGGTGTCGCTCGTGCGTGTGCCCACATCCATTATTCTATGCGCCCCCCCCATACATGCATGTGCAACCCTCCGCACTCCCCCCACTTTTGGCATGCAATGGCAAGGTAGGCCTGTTTTTCGCTCTCCCCAGACTCCAAAGCCTTTCTAGGAGGCTGGGGAGGGCAAAAATGGCCTTCCCCACTCCCCCAGAGGCCCTCCAGAGGCCGGAAACAGCTTTTTTCCTGACTTCCAATGGGCCCAAAAGGCCCGAAAATCAACTGGTTGGCACATGTATGCCTGCTGGAGCTGAGCTCACATGCCCACTGATATGGCTCCACGTGCCACCTGTGGCACGCGTGCCATAGGTTCGCCATCACGGCCATAGGGGAATGCTGCAATGGTCATAAGTGTGAAAAATGGCCATAAGTCACTTTTTTTCAGTGCCGTTGTAACTTTAAACGGTCACTAAATGAGCTGTTGTAAGTGGAAGACCACCTGGATTCCTCCCCAGTGTAATTATTGTAGAGTGCGTCCTAGTTTTTCTCTTGAATGATTTACATCATCAGAGCTTCTGTCTCACAGATCCATTTAGCCACAGCACTGCAAGATTCTGAGATGAATTTTGGGCTCTTCAACATCCCACAGCTGTTTCCTTGAGCCTTGGTTATTTTTAACAGCCTGTAGGATAAGGGAGCAAGCAAGGAAGACTGTCAAGGGGAAAAGAATTATTTTATTCTTGTTTGTATCTCTTTCTATTATAATATTTCTACATGTAGTCCTCGACTTACGATCACAATTGAGCCCAAAATCTATATGAGACATTTGTTAAGTGAGTTTTGCCCCCATTTTAGGACCTTTCTTGCCTTAATTGTTAAGCGAATCACTGCAGTTGATAAATTCATTCTTATAACTGTTGCTTTGTCATGCGATCACTTTTACAACCTTCTGACAAGCAAAGGAAGTCAGATTCACTTAACAACCAAGTTATTATCTAATCCAAGGGTCCCCAATCCCTGGTCCATGGACTGGAACCAGGCCATGGCATGCCAGAAACTGGGGTGTGCAAACAGGCGAAGCCCCATCCATGGGATGCAGACAGCATGCGAAACCATGCCCCTCCAGTCCGTGGAAAAACCTATCACCACGGAACCAGTCCCTGGTGCCTGAAATGTTTGGGGCCACTCATCTAATCAACTAATAATAATAACCTTTATTGTCACTGCACAACGTATGTACAATGAGATTGGTGGAGCTCCCTCATGCCATAGTAAGGGTAAAGGTTCCCCTCGCACATATGTGCTAGTCCTGTGATGGCGAACCTATGGCACGGGTGCCACAGGTGGCACGCGGAGTCATATTGATGGGCACGCAAGTGTTGCCCTAGCTCAGCTCCAGCGCGCATGTGCGCACCAGCCAACTGATTTTCAGACCTTCCGGTCCCACCGGAAGTCGGGGAACCAGCTGTTTCCGGCCTCCGGAAGGCCTCCAGGGGGAATGGGGAAGGCTGTTTTTGCCCTCCCCAGGCTCCTAGAAAGCCTCTGGAGCCTGGGGAGAGGGAAAAACGGGCCTACCGGGCCCACCGGGCCATCACGTGCCAAAAGCAGGGGGAAGTGGTGGTGGGGGGTCATGTGCGCATACGTGGAAGGGCGGGGCGCATTGAATTATGGATGTGGGTACATGCAGCCGTGACCCCCCAAGCTCCCCCCGGCTTTTGGCACGCGACGGCAAAAAGGTTAGCCATCACTGTGCTAGTCGTTCCCGACTCTAGGGGGCCGTGCTCATCTCCGTTTCAAAGCCGAAGAGCCAGCGCTGTCCGAAGACATCGCCATGGTCATGTGGTCAGCATGACTAAATGCCAAAGGTACACGGAATGCTGTTACCTTCCCACCAAAGGTGGTCCCTATTTTTCTACTTGCATTTTTTATGTGCCTTCGAACTGCTAGGTTGGCAGAAGGTGGGACAAGTAATGGGAGCTCACCCTGTTATGCGGCACTAGGAATTCGAACGGCTGAACTTCCGACCTTTCGATCAACAAGCTCAGCGTCTTAGCCACTGAGCCACAGCGTCCCTTGCTCATGCCATACCGTGATGCAATAAGTGAGAACGCTTTCTATTGTGGACCGGTAAAAGGAGGTCATCAGTTGTTGTTCCACCCTGTTTTTATGCAAGACCCTAAGGAAATTGAGTCTCTGTTGGGCCTTCCTGGCCACCTAGATTGTGTTGATTTTCCAGGTGAGATCTTCGCTGAGGTGGACTCCCATGGAAATTAAAGGAGGAAACTCTCTCCACACAGGCCCCCCCTCGATGTAAAGTGGGGCAGGTTCCTCTCTCTTCCTGCAGTGATTCACTTAACAACTGTGGCAAGAAAGGTCGTAAAATGGGGCAAAACTCAGTGTCGAGCCACGGCTGGGACTCGCCATCGCTGGGGGGATGGAGAGGTTGGAGTGCTGACCGTCCGGACGCTTGGCCCATTGGAGGGAGGTCTGTTCGGACGATGGCGTGCCTTGATGATACACACACCCAGAAGCCAAGGGACGACTGGCTGCCTGCTGTGTATCATCAAGGCACGCCATCGTCCGAACAGACCTCCCTCCAACGGGTCAAGCGTCCGGATGGTCAGCACTCCAACCTCTCCGTCCCCCCCAGCGATGGCGAGTCCCAGCCGGGGCTCGACACTCAGTTTACAAATGTCTCATTTAACAACAAAAATTTTGAGCTCAATTGTGGTCGTAAATCAAGAACTACCTGTAACTGGCGTAGGCCCAAAACACTGGAAGAAGAAAACAGATATATATATTTCCCAGCTCAAATAATCATAAAATGGATGGGAATACTCACCCTTCCTTACTACCGGTATATGAGGAATTATCAACCCACAACCATTCACCGGTCCTGGAATTTCCAGACAGTCCTATCCACAACATTTGTGCCCCATTGGTGATATGCTGGATGAAGTGCTGTCAAGAATATATTTGTCAGTTACTTGTTTGCTTAGTAGGGCATAAGAGAATTCAGCATTAGTGCATAAAACTCACAAAAACAGCACATAAAATGTGTATGAATATATAAACAGCAATACAGTGAATTATTTTTAAAATGCACAATTAAAATGATGAATAAAGTTATAAATAAAATTTAATTTAGTTTAATTAAAAATCATCTGAAAGAAAGCCAACCAGGCCCTGATATTGATATTGTTTCCTGGTTGCTTATTTCTTCCCTATGACTAAGTATTGTATTTTATGATTCTTGATGAACGTATCTTTCCTTTTATGTACACTGAGAGCGTATGCACCAAGACAAATTCCTTGTGTGTCCAATCACACTTGGCCAATAAAAAATTCTATTCTATTCTTGTTCTGCCCCAGCTACGGACCCCAAAGAACACAGCACAAACAAAGTCTGTACAAAACTTAAATTTACTAAAATAACTTAGTCTTTTCCAAACAAAGGCTATTAAGAAACTTTCTTAACAGCCTACAAGAAACCAAAGATAAAGTAATCACAATCTTACTAAGGTTGGCAGAAAGCCCAGAAGCAATGTGCAGAGAATCCAGACGCAAAGGAGAATGAACTAAAGTTGTTCCCTACAACTTGCTTCAGTCGGCGTTCCTCCTTAAATAGGCTAAGAAAGTGGCCAATTAGCCCCAAGCCTTACTCTCGAGGAGACCCCCTCCTGAGGAGCCACTCCTGCCTTTTGGCAGCTCTGCATGCCCATGCATCGAGAAGAGGCTCCTCTTCTTCGTCCTCTTCACTTAAAGGAGCTTCTGGAGGTTCTGGAGGCCCTGGCTGAATTCCCGCCTCTGGCACCACATCTTCTCCAGCCTCCTCATCGTCTGACTCGAGTTCCAGCTGCACAGGCTGCTGGTGCAGCACCACACCAGCCTCCTCGCTGTCAGAATCAGCTACAATTCGCACAGGCCACTGACGGGCCACAACAATTCTATTCTAAACTGTTCCCAAACTGTTCCCATGGACATGACCACACGAGGAGGTGCCAGATCTTTTCAAGACTATTTATTTCTACAGGATGAAGGAGGATGTTGGCATTTACCAATTCTGCCTCTTCTTTCAAAACCACAAGTTCAGAATATTTGGCTCTACAGTCGTCTCTACTCTCATTCCAGGTCTGTTTTTCCCCTGAGATCCAGTAACACTTGTCTCCATGAAGCTGCCATTCTTTGGGACACAGCTTCAAATTCCCTGAAAGAGAAAAAAAAGGGCTCCATATTTATTTATTCATTGAAACCAGGTGTAAATACTGCATCATACTGACACCAATTTGCAGGTAGTCCTCCACTTACAAGAGTTCATTTAGCGACCATTCAAAGTAACAACGTCACTGAAAGAAGTGGCTCGTGACCATTTTTCACACTTATGACCGTTACAGCATCCCCATGGTCATATGATCAAAATGCCAACTGACTCATATTTATGGCCTTTGTAGTGTCCTGGAAACATGTGATCACGTTTTGCGACCTTCTGACAGCCAAAGTCAATGGGGAAGCCAAATTCACTTAACAGCCATGCTACTAACTTAACAACTGCAATGATTCATTTAACAAATGTGGCAAGAAAGGTCATAAAATGGGGCAAAACCAGTGGTGGGATTCTGCCGGTTCTAGGCGATTTGGCCGAACCGTTTGTTAAATTGCTGGTTCGCCCCCCCCCTTGCCCCGCCCTTCCGCACCACTAGGCAAGGGGGGGGCGAGCCAGCAATTTAACAAACGGTTCGGTGTTTTTTTATTTTATTTTATTGGCCTCGCAGCTGCCGCGGGGCTTCAAAGGGCTGCCCTACAGCTGATCAATATTAAAAGAAAACAAATGAGTAGATCGGTGCCTGCAAATATAAATGGGTAGACCCAGTGGCAGGATTCTACTTTGGTAGAACCGGTTGTTAAGTAGTTAAGCCAGTGGTTGCCAAAGTGGGTGGTATTTATTTATATAAATAAAATAAAAATGTTGCAGATCTGAGAATTTTTTGCATGGAGGGGGAATCTGAGAGAACTCAGAAACATTTATTTCTGAATATGAATTACATTTGAAATCATTCTGAGATATGCTGAATCCTTATCTAATTATTAGCTAATTATAATCTAATTATAATGTTTACCAGCCACTGATGGGAAAGAGAAATCAAAATAAGCAGAAACTATACAGTAATGAAGGAAGGTATACAAATAGCTGGGTTTCATAACTGACATACCGATCAGAGATCAAAATGGTATCAGTGTGATAAATCTAACAGATTAGTAGAGATTATGATGGATTAATCTGCAGGGATTAATAGAAGACATACCTACAAAGGATGAAAGATGAGGATTAATGAGTAAGCATTAGTCATTACTCTAATGGTTTCCTTTCCAGAAGGTGAAAACAGTTTTAGAAGTTCAGAAAAGCAAGTAAGATTATTTTGCTTTAAAAGCACTGTTAGAAGAAAGTTCTTGTTTCGAATGCGGACCATAGAACACATAGAACAAATTGCTTGAGGTGGAGGCAAAGTTTATTTCGACAGCATAACATGCTGTTCAGTGGTGGGTTGCCCCCCGGTTCACACCGGTTCTATAGAACCGGTAGTAAAACTGGCGGGAGGCTCCACCCACTGACCCTGACATCATCAAAACACTTCTGCGCATGCGGCCTCATTGTGAACCAGTAGTAAAGATAAGTAGAACCCACCCCTGATGCTGTTGTAATATTAGGTTGTAATAATAGTAATCAAAGGTTACAACAGAATACAGGTTTTTTTTGTTTTTTTTAAAATTTGATTTATATGCCGCCCTTCTCCAGAGACTCAGGGCGGCTTACAATGTGCTCAGCAATAGCCTTCATCCTTTTGTATATTTATACAAAGTCAGCTTATTGCCCCCACAACTGGGTCCTCAAATGATTGTCAAATGATTACCTTTATCCCAGACCAGGCCCAATCTGGCCCTTTGGCTCACCCTGTCTAACTAAGGTGACCAGACGTCCCGCTTTTGGCGGGACAGTCCCGCTTTTGAGCAACTTGTCCCGCGTCCCGCGGCGTTTCAAAAAAGTCCCGATTTTTCTTGAGCCCCAGCTGATGGCTAGAAGAAAAAAAAACTGTTTAAACTCTTGCCCGGGGCTTCAAAGGGCCGCCCTACAGGCAATCAGTGTAAAGCAGTTTTTTTTCCCCCTAGCTAAGCTTCAGAAACGAAACCGAAACCAGGGTCTTTAGTGCAGGGTGACAAAATGAGGCAGAGAGAGATTTATTTTTATTTTTATTTTTCCTCCCCAAAAAAGGTAGGTGAAAAACTGCAAACAATGGGAAATTTAGGAGGAGAGTTCAAGATTTTAAAACACAAAGGAAAAAAAGCTGTATTTAACTAGGGAATTGTAATAATTGAGATACTATTAATTGCATATTGTGTTGAAAGCAGAAATGGTAAAGTTGTGGTTCGGAGGAATATATGGGAGAAATTATTTGGTTTATTATTATTGGTAAATATAATTAATTGATTTGTAAGAAATTGGATTGCATGGAAATAATTGGAATATTCATGTTCATATTGATTAATATACAAAAAAGATAGTTTTATAACTAATTGATTTATATTAAAATGTTGAATTTGTATTAAACAACTGTATTACATAATTACATAATTAAACGATGTGAGGATGGATATAAAAATAGATGACAATGGGAAGGGGTATAATATAGAATAGAAGGGAAAAATTGAATTTGATTAAGATTAGAGATGAGGATGAAGGGTAATATTGGTTTTTTTAAAAAATAGATGAGGAATAAATATGGCAAAAAGGAAATATAGAAATTGTAAATTTAATTGAAATGACTAAACGCTGTTTAAATTTGTGAACCAGCCAAATATTCTGTTCAAAGAAAATACATTGTATGTTTGTATGTGTGTTTCTAATTATTGCTATTTATTCATATTTGTTCTCTTTTATTCTTTAAAGTTTAACAATTCATTTTTTATCTTAATATCTTTATATTTGCTTGGGGTTGGCTTTCTTCCCTTTCATCTTTTTTATTGTACAGCAATCTTTCTCCTCAAACCTACCACCTCTCTCTTTTCTTTCCTTCTTACTTTCTCTTCCCCCCACCCTCTTTTTCTCCTCCCTACTTCCTCTTCCTTTCTCCTTCTCCTCCTCTCTTCCTCCCTCTCTTACCCTCACTCCTACTCTAATTTCCATTCCTTCATCCCTCTCTATTGCTGTAATCCTTTAATGCATATGGACTACTCAGAGGGCTGAAAAAGTTATTTTTGACTGGTCCTCACACTTTTGACCAGTCCTCGAACTTATGACTGTCCTCACATTTTACATTTTTGCCCTATCTTGTCATCATGGTGAAGAGAAGCAGTTGTGAAATGAGTGACATGGTTGTTAAGAATGCTGCATGGGCATAAATGTGAGGATGGTCATAAGTGTGAGGACCAGTCAAAAGTGCGAGGACCTGTCAGAAATGACTTTTTTCAGCTCTCTGGTTAGTCCTTTTGTGCATATGGACTACTCAGAGGGCTGAAAAAGTTATTTTTGACTGGTCCTCACACTTTTGACCAGTCCTCGAACTTACAACTGTCCTCACATTTTACATTTTTGCCCTATCTTGTCATCATGGTGAAGAGAAGCAGTTGTGAAATGAGTGACATGGTTGTTAAGAATGCTGCATGGGCATAAATGTGAGGATGGTCATAAGTGTGAGGACCAGTCAAAAGTGCGAGGACCTGTCAGAAATGATTTTTTCAGCCCTCTGGTTAGTCCTTTTGTGCATATGGACTACTCAGAGGGCTGAAAAAGTTATTTTTGACTGGTCCTCACACTTTTGACCAGTCCTCGAACTTACAACTGTCCTCACATTTTACATTTTTGCCCTATCTTGTCACCTTGTTGAAGAGAAGCAGTTGTGAAATGAGTGACATGGTTGTTAAGAATGCTGCACGGGCATAAATGTGAGGATGGTCATAAGTGTGAGGACCAGTCAAAAGTGTGAGGACCTGTCAGAAATGACTTTTCAGCCCTCTGAGTAGTCCCTATACACATAGCCATGGCCACCCGGTCACATGACCAGGTAGCCACGCCCACCCAGTCACATGGCCTCCAAGCCACGCCCACACAATAAGCCACGCCCACAATGGTGTCCTTCTTACCAATGTTAAAATCTGTTCACCTTACCCTATAGACATAGCCATGGCCACCCGGTCACATGACCAGCTAGCCACGCCCACCCAGTCACATGACCAGCTAGCCACGCCCACAAAATAAGCCACGCCCACAATGTCCCTCTTTACCAATGTTAAAATCTGGTCACCTTATGTCTAACCCATGTGAAGTCAATTGGAAATTAGAAATCAAATTTAAATAAGTGTATACTGTGATACTAGGCTGAAGCTGCCATGCCTAAAAATGAAGCAGGCATCTAAGCAGGGTGGACAAAAGCCAGGAAAAGATCTCTTAAGGCTTGAAGTTAAGAAACAACCAGGCTGTAAAGTGGGGGGGGGAAGGGGGAGGGGGAAATGCCAGCTGAATCAAACAAAGCACACCCCTCCACCTGTCCCATCAACAGCTAAGATTTTAAGAAACAACAGAGCAGTAATGAGTTTCAAAGCCCGGCGCTACCAGTTCGCTATCGGTAGCACGCAGACACACTTGCTCACTTTGTGAGCGCGTGGCACTTCTCCGCATGTGTGGCGCTTATGTGCATGCGCAGAAGCTTCTGCACATGCGCAGATTGTTTTTGATGACGTCTGGGTAGTTGGGCAGAGCCTCCTGCCACCGCCACTACCAGTTCGCCCAAACTGGGGTGAACCGGGAGCAACCCACCACTGCAACAGAGCAAGGAATTTGGGGGATAAAAGAAGTCCTGAAGCCCAGCCACTCTGTGTGTGTGTGTGTGTGTGTAAAAAAGATTTCCATATCCTGAGGGGAATTCTGATGGTTTTGGCTAAGATACTGAGGTTTGCTAGCTTTTTATCAGTTTCATGATCCTAGGACTTTGCTGAAAGGCTCATGTGGTTCTTTGTTTTGTGGCCTGGAGTTTCATGCGGTCAAGACACAGCCAAGATTATATAGCATGTGGCCTGGCTAGATGTCATGGAGGCATTTCCTGTTTTAACAGTACAATTCCATTCTACCACTTGTAACAGCACTCGGTTGCCAGCCCCGTTTCAACAGTATGCAATAATTGCAGCTCTGCAAACAAAGCCTTTGTATCTCCCTTTAGAAACATAAAAGGAAACAAGCAACCTATTTGAAAACTAACTGATTTTAGAAAGGAATTCGGGCCTAGGTGTTTTGATTGGGTAAAAACAGTCAGGAAGGTGATCGAAAGTGCCCAATGAAAACTCTGAACCTTCTCTCACCCCATGATGAGTTATTAATCGACTGTTGTAAATCTTAACACACGTCACCACGGCATGTGCTGTCTCATTTTAGCAGGAGTAGGGGGGTGTTCCTGGCAGGAATAAGCAAAATGTATGCCAACATCAGGGTGAGCATACTAATAGTCATGATGTAACTATGTAGTACGATGTTATTTTACATTCATATAACCCTTGCAAAGAACATTGGAAGCTACTGTACTTCTTTATATTTTCGTTCCTGTTAGTTTCTATCTTTCTTTTTAAAAACTTTAATAAAGTTATTTGGGGGGGGACTTGACACATTGTTTAGGTTCAGTACAGCGGTGTTTATACCGTATTAATTGGAGGATATTATTTTATTCTATCATTTCATTCACTAGTCGGCCACCTGCACCACAGTGGGGGAGCGTTTTTCACCCGCTTCAGGCTCCAGAGGTTTTCTTCGAACCTCCGGGAGGACAAAAACTGCTTCCCCTGTGGTCCAGAGGCCCTCCGGAGGCCGGAAACAGGCCCGTTTCCAGACTTCCAGAACCTCCAGTAGGCCCGTTTTTTGCCTTCCCAGACCCTCCAAGTGGCCCCTGGAGTTACATAGAATTATGAATGGACCGCGTGGAGACTCCTGGGAGGGGAGAGGCGGGCATGGCCAGCCAGGGGTGGCATTTGGGGGTTCACCGAACCCCTGCGATCCTTGGCTAGAGGATCACCCGAACCCTGCCGAACCCTCAGGAGCCCACCCCTGATTCTAACCAGTAAAGTGTTGCTGTTATCTTAAATTCACAGCACCTTAGTGTATTCCAAAGAGTAAACTGTGCCTTAGTGTTCAATTGAAAGTGATTTGAGTGTGTCTGCTGACCAGGGCTGTGAGTGTGTGACCATAAACTGAGCCTGGAAGTGCATGTAACAGCATTATTTATTTATTTATAAAATATGTTGGCCGTCCATCTTACCACAGGGTAACTCTGGGTGGTTTATACAGTTACCTCTAAGCTAAAATATAAAAAGCTAAAATCAAACATTAACAACAAAGACATATGGGAAGGGCGAAGGGAGAGTGGGTGGGGGGGGGAGAAGTGGGATCTTTTATTACTCGATCAACCACCTTCACTGGGCTGTTCCCCCATTGAGGCCCCCAACTGACCGGCAGAACCTAATCTTTAGGCCCTTATGAAAGGATAGGAGGGTTGAGGCCAACTTCAGATTGGGGAGATATTCCAGAGGGCAGGAGTGACAGCAGAGAAGGCCCTCATCCTGGACCCCGCCAGCTGGAATAATCAAGGCTGATGGGACCCGCAGCTTGCCTCCTGGCACAAGTGGTACGAGCCAATCCCAGTGGGGTGAGACGGTCCCTCAAGTAACCTGTACCCATGCCATGAAAGGCTTTAAAAGTGACCACCGACACTTTGAATTGCACCTGGAAGCAGACTGGTAACCCATGCAGATCGTGGAGCAGTGGTGTTACAGGAGCCATTTTTGGGGCCCCCAAAACTACCTGTGCCGTCGCATTCTGCACCAGATATATATATATTTTAATTTGATTTATATGCCGCCCTTCTCTGAAGACTCAGGGCGGCTTACAATGTGCTCAGCAATAGCCTTCATCCTTTTGTATATTTATACAAAGTCAGTTTATTGCCCCCACAACTGGGTCCTCAATTTACCTACCTTAGAAAGGATGGAAGGCTGAGTCAACCTTGAGCCTTGGCGAGATTCGAACCCTGCAGTAATTGCAGGCAGCTGGTCTTAATAACCAGCTTAATAACAGGGTGCCTTAAACCCCTGTACTACCAAGGCTTTTCCAAATGCTCTTCAAGGGTAGCCCCATGTAGAGCGCATTACAGTAGTCTAATCTTGAGATGACTAGGGATTGAATGTCTGAGTCCTCTGGTCCAGGAAAGGCCGTGACTGGAGCACAACACAAAGTTAGTCGGGTGGTTGCAGCCACCATCTGGATTTCTCTGATCAGCAGGCCTCCCTGAGTTGAGTCTTTCTCCTGAAAACTAGTAGCATTTTCAAGCAACTTCCGCTGGTTGGTATTAGTGTTGCTATGCACGACCCTTGAAATCTGGGAACATACCTGTGGAATTGTCACAATGGTGCTTACACAGAAATCGCCACAGCTTGTTCCATTTTTCTCCTGCTGCCTCTTTGCTGACTTGCTGCTTTGTTTCAGTAGCAGGAATGTTCTCCTGAACATCTGGAGTTCTCTGGACCTGAAAGACTTTTTAAAAAGATTTCTAATTAGCTGACAAGCAAATAGAGGGAGATATTAGCAGTGGTGGGATTCAGCCGGTTTTCTCCGGGTCGCTCGAACTGGTAGCGGCGACTGTGGGAGGCTCCGCCCACCTGCCTGAATGTGATGTGCGACTACTACGCATGTGCACAGTCACATTTGCGGAATGGTAGGGAAGGTAAGTGAATCCCACCTCTGGAGATACTGTATGTATAAAGAAATGCACATAGCTTAGAGCCAGGGTACCTACGAGACCGCCTGCTGCTACCGATAACCTCCCACCGGCCAATACGCTCTCACAGAGAGGGCCTCCTCAGGGTGCAGCCGGTCAAGTAATGTCGGCTGGCGGCCCCCAGGGGGAGAGCCTTCTCTGTGGGGGCACCCGCCCTGTGGATTGAGCTACCTCCTGGAATACGACTGATCCCAGACCTCCGCACTTTCCGTAAGGCCCTGAAGACTTATTTATTCCAGCAAGCCGGCCTAGCCTAAATGGTTTTTTAATGGGAATTTTTAAATTTTATAGACTTGGGGTTTTAAATTGGGAGGCCGATTGATTTAATTTATTTTAGCTATCTTAACTTTTGTATTGTATGTATTTTAATTTTGGCTGTCCACCACCCTGAGTCCCTTTTGGGAGAAGGGCGGTATACAAATTCAATAAATAAATAAATAAATAAATAAAATACAGAAAGCTCCATTGTAGCACTTTAAAAAGAAATGCAAAAGGGTTTCTTTTGTGATATTCCTGTTTTCTGGACATCTATTTTACCCTCACTCTTCTTATTTATGCAGTGTTTCCCCCCCACCCCTTGTTCTGGCTGCTCACAGCTGCTCATGAAGCTGAATTTCAGCATCCCAACTCCCTATGGAAATGGCTTGGCAGGGACCAAGATTTCAGCACACTCTGAAACTGCTAAGTCATGTATGTTCTATGTTCCCCAATTCCTTGGCTTTCCTATCTATGCAAGGAAGGCAAAAAATTTTAGCTAGCCGCTGTGTCAGTGGTGGGTTTCAAATTTTTTTACTACCGGTTCTGTGGGTGTGGCTTGGTGGGCGTGGCTTGGTGGGCGTGGCAGGGGAAGGATACTGTAAAGTCTCCATTCCCACCCCACTCCAGGGTAAGGTTACTGCAAAATCCCCATTTCCTCCCAATCAGCTGGAATTTGGGAGGCAGAGAATAGGTGAGGGTGGGGCCAGTCAGAATTTTTACTACCAGTTCTCTGAACTACTCAAAATTTCCGCTACCGGTTCTCCAGAACTGGTCAGAACCTGCTGAAACCCACCTCTGGGCTGTGTAGGTGGATCTTCTTTTTCCATTAGTAGTCCCTGTGCCTTTCCTTGGTTTGTATATACCCTGTTTCCCCTAAAATAAGACATCCCCTGATAATAAGCCCAATCGGGCTTTTGAGCGCATACACTAAAATAAGCCCTCCTCGAAAATATTTAAACGCATGCACAGCCAGTCCCCGCCATTTCCTCTGGTTTCCTCCATACACCCCAAAATCTTTGCACGTATGTCTTGGACTCCCTTTCCCCCGTTCTCTCCTTTTTAACACTAAAACATACTTTTCTCTTTTCTTTCTTTCTTTTCTTTCTTTCTTTTTTTTTTTTTGCCTTATCTTTGCTCTGATGCCACAATAATCAAAGCAAAGCCAGATTGCTCTTTTCATCTCCATGTCGGTTCATAAAAACCTTATAGCAAGAGTGAGCTGATCATTCAGCTGCCTACAGGTAGTCCTCGACCTATGTCCATAATTGAGCCCAGAATTTCTGTTGCTAAGTGAGACAGTTGTGAAGTGAGTTTTGACAACATCCATTTAAACTTTGTTATTTTATTCCAGATTGGCTGGAATACAGCTTTAGGTGCCAATCCTTGGCCACACCTATTTTTGTCCCAGCCGATGATCGCTGCCAAACTATAGCAGGCTTCCCTTGACTAAACTCGTGCCAGCCAACAGCTTCCTCTGTGTGACTCAAACGGCGGCGGGGGGGGGGATGACTGGCATAATTTCACATTTAGCTTCAGCTGCTGATAAACCCAGCCTCTTGGTGCAGCTGTAAAATTGTAGCAATAAAATAATAATAATAATGTGCTGGGTGCTGGAATGTGTGCGGCTGGCAGGCAAGTTTGATGAGCCTTGATAGTACAGGGGTTTAGTGCACCCTGTAATTAACACAGCTGCCTGCAATTTCTGCTGGTTTGAATCTCTCCAAGGCTCAAGGTTGACTCAGCCTTCCATCCTTTCTAAGGTAGGTGAAATAAGGACCAAGTTTGTGGGGGCAATAAGCTGACTTTGTATAAAACATACAAAAGAATGAAGGCTATTGCTTAACGCATTGTAAGCCGCCCTGAGTCTCCGGAGAAGGGCGGCATATAAATCAAATTAAAAAAAAAAAAAAAGTTTACTCAGCTTGACAGGCCCAGTGCAACTACAAGAGTTGGTAAATAATGGAAGCTTCCAGGTTTCACCAGACCACAAAGAGGAAACAAGGGGAAGCCTGACAGCTCTGTGCGCCTGGGCTGCACGTTTTCTCGCTTCTGCTGGCTCCAAGTTGTGCAAAAGCATCCCAGGCTGGTTGGGATTTTGGCGTGCAGGCCAAAATGGCTTGTAAGCTGCTTTTATGGATTGCAAGAGAGGTGGAGCAAGGTGCGGTTGCCTCAGCCCACGAATCCTGATTAAAGCCAGAGCGGCTCACTTGAATGGCCCTTGCTCACCCTCCCAGCCCCTGTCATCACCCCCCCTCACTGCCAATCATGTGCTGCCCACCCCCAGCTCCTGTAATTTCCTCACCTACCGCCAGTCATGCACTTCCACCTGCCAGCACCAATTAGCTGGCGGCTATTTGTCCAGTGCCTGGGGAAAACCATGCCTCGGGGAATGGGCCAGGATGAAAGAGCTGGGGGTGGAGGGCCAGGAGGTCATTGACAGTGGACAATCCCTGGCAGAAGGCCAGCGGAGGCGGAAATCCTGCTGTGGTTCAACAGCGGCATTTGGCTGAGTGTGAAGTTGGGGCAGCCAAGGATCAGTGCCTAAATGCCCCATTCCAAGAAGGGAAGCTGCCTTGCTAGAGTTTCCACTGGAATTTCTACTGCAGCAAGAAAAGTTCATTGACTCAATAAGCCATTGTTAGAACTTTGCTTTTACAGAATAGAGCTGGAAGGGACCTTGGAGGTCTTCTAGTCCAACCCTCTGCTCAAGTAAGAGACCCCATACCAGTGATGGTGAAGCTTTTCAGCACCGAGTGCCCAAACCAGAACTCACACACACATGCATTGGAACCCCCGAAACCCGAAGACCAGCTGGCCAGGGCACATGTGCTCACCGGCCAGCTGCTCTTCGGGTTCCCAGGGCTCCCGCATGAGCAAAGATCAGCTGGCTGGTGCACATGCATACGCCAGAAACCAGAAAAGCAGCTGCCGAATGTGTGCATGCCCACAGAGAGGGCTCTGCGTGCCACCTCTGCATGTGTGCCAGAGGTTCGCCATCATGGCCCTATACCGTTTCAGTCAAGTGGCTGTCCAATCTCTCCCTAAAAACCTTCAGCACTGGAGCACCCACAACTTCTGAAGGCAAAGCTGTTCCATTGATTAATTGTCCTCACTGTTAGGAAGTTTCTCCTGAATTCTAGGTTCCTTCTCTCCTTGATTAGTTTCCATCCATCGTTTCTTGTCTTGCCTTCTGGTGCCTTGGAAAATAAATTGACCCCCTCTTCTTTGTGGTAGCCTCTCAAATACTGGAATACTGCTATCATGTCACCCCAAGTCCTTCTTTTCTCTAGATCTTGACAAACCCACTTCCTGCAACCTTCATATATTTTAGCCTCCAGGCCAGTGGTGAAATCCAAACCGGTTTGCTCTTAGTTGCTCTTTTCTGCACTTTCATCTTTTTTTTTTTTAATGAATCATAAATGAAAGAGTGGAAGAAGAGAGGCAGCTGCCAATCAATGGAGAAGTTAGCAGCCCAGGAAGAAATGGGTGCTCAGGGCAATGGCCAGAGGCTGCAGCCAATGGAATTTATGGGTATCCCTAGAACAGGAGTAAAGAGTTACAAATTGCAAAACAGGCGTTTTGAAGCAGAGCATGAAACCAAGTCAAATGCATTTATGATTGGTTGGGAGTGGGTGAGGGATGATGTGATCAGTTCCCCCTCGGAAGAAGCTGTGGGTGGCCCATAATGACAATGGCAAGCAGAGAGGCTGAATCTGCACCTAGTCAGTGCAACAGTTAGTGAGAATGAGCGAGAACCTGTGGCCCATCAGCTGAAGAGCCAAGTATTATTTACTGGAAGTTTTTCAGACAGTTGTAGTTAATGTATATATCTTTTTTTTAAAAAAAAAAAATCTTCCTTGCATTTTTCTTTTGCCTTAACTTTCTGTTTTATAGATGGCATATGCCACCGGAGAAGTTAGCAAAAATGTTTAAATATAAATCGGCTACCTGCTGGAAATGTTATCAAACACCAGGATTTTATTATCATATGTGGTGGACTTGAAGCAAAAAGTTATTGATACAAAATTAAAATCTGGCTGGAAGAAATGATACAGCAACGCATTGAATTTAAACCAGAGTTGTTCTTACTGGATATCTTTCCAGAAAAAATTAGTAAGGAAAATGTATATTTGATCATACATGTAATAACAGCTGCAAGTATTGTATATGCTCAAAATTGGAAATCAGAGAAAATACCTTTGGAAAAGAAGTAATTAAAAAAATTAGATTGTGCAGAAATTAATAGATTAACTTTGATGATTAAGGATAAGGAAGAATCAGAATATTTTAAAACATGGAATCATGTTTATAGTTGGTTGGAAAAGAGATATGACTGATATTATAACTATGTACAAATGATGATTACAATATTGTTTTAGCAATAAAATGTTAGAATGGTTTGGATGAAGATGAAGATAGAAGAAACTTATGGAAGATGGGGAAGAAGCCTAGAAGATAACACCGAGATGTCACAGGGAAAGGAGGATTGATGTATTAA